CTTTCAGTTTAAAAGTAAGACGCAAGCAACTCACCATTGTTCCAAAAGGAATGGCTCTCGAAGCATGGTAATAAATGGCTATAAAATTGATGAAGAAGGCAGTGCCACACACCATAGCTGGGATGAGGAATGCACCAATGAACATCTGCTTTATCCATCTCCTTCCTGAAAGAAAAGGGAAACTATAATAATCAGAGAGCTAGGTAGACAGACATATATTAATGTTTAAAAGGTGGTTATTTAGTACCAAATTATCTAAAATTTTAATGTAAAGAACTTAAATTTGACATCCTAATAGCTGTTTCAAAACAACAGCTAATAAAGACCAGTCCAACTATTCAAGTATGTCTAGTGGAAACACGCTTTTGATGTGGGTGTACTGGAAAAGAGCAATGAACTATGGTAAACTATTCTGGTGTTTTGTCCTGATTCTGCCACTGAACTGCTGTGAACGTTGGTAAACCACTCAATCTTTCTGGGCTACAAGTTGGCCTAGAAAGGTGTTTTCAAACACCTAGGTGTTACTTGGAGTTCTGGAGCTTCTAAGAGGTGCCCATGAAGTCACCGGTAAAGGAAGGGCCCAGGTCCTCCAGCCCTGCTTCAACAGAACAAGTTCATTTTCAACAGTTTCACACATTGTAGTTTCATATATGCTCTCATTTGAAAAGAGGGTTACACTACTTTAAACAAACAAACAAAAGTTTAAAACCCCCTGGGTTAACATTCCCTAAATTTACTCTCAGCTCTATAATTATGATTATAAACATATATTTAAATTCATTTCTATGTTTCAAAAGGAAAAAACAACAGAATGTGTTTCATGAGCTTCCTCTCAGCAATTAGAACTAAATATAAGTTTTACTATTTCTTTGAACTTCTTTGTACTGCCAAAATTCTATTCACTGAGAATCTATAATTTAAATAACACAAGGAAAGAATTTTTAAACTATGTAATCAAAAATTTTTTCATCAAGTTCATAATGACCAGAAGCACAACAGGAGCTACCGTTCAAGCACACCTCCGGGACGCATCTTCATACTGCTCAGGAACGTAATGTAAAGATTTAACATGGGATCACTATTAAAGTTCAGCCCCACAACCATAAGCAACAGGACCCAAACAGATAGTGCTACAGGAAAAACAAGCAATATCCTAACTTTTATTTTCTTCTATATAAAGTTCTTTTCAAACATCTGTCTCATAGAATTACTACCCCAGATCTTGACATTCTTGCAGAAAAACTCCTTGATTCTGAACTTTTGCCTCTATTTAATTTCTTTCTCAGGTACATTTCAAGAACCCCTCCTTTCTAAACTAATACTCAGCATTTGAACAACAACGCAAAAAGGGTAAGAACTAATTAAAATGATTATTTCTCTTATTAAATTCCAACTCTTTCCTAGCATTCTCTTTTCCTGCACTTTCCATTATCTTCTCAGATTCAGACACGGGTTAATAAATTCTATATTCAGCTATATTCAACTCTCTCTCTTTCTCCCTTTCCCTCCAACAGTCAAAAAGAATCCCACGTACATTCCACTGGGTACAATCAGTAGCCCAGGCATCTGCATTGTGCTTCCTACTGCTCCCCAACGCCCTTGGAGACTCTGGTCTTTAAATTGGGTCTGGAGCACTATCCAGTGCACTGAGGACAGTATGAAGTCTTTGAGCTCCACTGTAGTTCAGATCCTGAGATAACCTAAAGAATTCTTGATTCTCTGGGCTGACCTCTATATTCACCTGGTTTTAGGGATCACTCAGACAAAATATCAGGACGTGATCAGACCTCCTCAGGGCACTGTCAATCAGAAAATAACCTTTATATTATTCCTGGTAAGGTGTGATACTACTAGGCTTAGGTCTGAACTCTGTCAACTTTCAAGAATAAGTATAGTAAAGTTAAGTTTGGTTGGGTATTCTTAACTTGCAATTGGACTAAAAGCAAATTTATGTCCAAGGATGAATAAATTTCCTGTTTTGAGTAATCTGTTTCTGCTGTGGAAACTTTTCTGGAGGTCATAAACTGTACAATTCTTAGCCTAATTAGTTTTCAGGTTAAATTCAAAGTAGGAGTTACCTTAGGCATCCTTATTTCCTCAGGATGGCAGACCTGTGTGCTAAGACTCATTTCCCATATCTAGACGTAGAACAGAGAAACTGAACAGCTAACTAAAATAGTCAGGAATCTGCAATGATACTCCCTCAGGTAATCCAGAGAACTATCTCTGCTGAAGGTATACACCACATTAAGTCTGGTAGGACCAATTTTAAAAAAAGTCATGGTAAACCAGGATATCGTGAGGGAATTTTAAATGCTCTGAGCTCCTACAGACGATATGTCTAGTCTACTAAAAGAAGGCAGGATTCCCTAATGATGACACTGCCTAGGATGGGCTGGGAAAATCACATTAAGAAGTCTCTATCCTTAGGAATATAATTTTAATGTCTTTCAACAACCCGTCATTCATAAACTAAAATATGCTAATCTACTACTTTTAGCACGTTTCTGACTCCAAACAATTACAAGGGAAACAAAGGAACTTAAAAACCCTGAATGCCATCACAGAAAAAAACACCAAGGAGCAGTATCCTCATATCATCCATGTATACCCCGTCATTTCCAGGTCACAATAGTAAAGAAGCAAGGGGGTATTCAAGATGAAGCTCTCTTAGCAAAAGATTGTGACAGAAAATCTTTGCGCATGTCCTTTGTTAAGTATTTAAGAGTCAACAGAAGTAACAGATTTCCTTCCTATGCTCCTTCACTGCCCATTTATCCATAAACCATGAAACATGCCTTTACATTCGGCTATGAAGCTATATATTCTATGTGGAAACCTCCCATGGAGCACTACTAGGGAACTAGGCACCTGAAAGCAAAATAACATCAATAACTTAAATACACTCTCTCCTACATGTTCTTCAGGGCTAATTCACAGTGGACAATGGAGAAATCTATTCATTATTCATAATTTTAGGAAATGCAAGGATTCCATAAAAGCAAATTAGGACATATAATAGGTTTGGTGGAGATTATGTGAAATGGGATAACAAAGGACTTTACAATGGCTGTACTGCCCATTTTAAATTCCATATACCTCACAGTGTAACATTAGCATCTACAATTAAAAATACAAAGCAATAACTCATAAATTACCTCCTTGTCTAGCATACAGACTTCCTCCAAAATAACCATTCACTGGAGATGTAGCAGCATAGACAAATATGGCTGTACTGAGCATTGACCCCCTCCTAAAAAGGCAAAACAACACATATGATAAACTAAAACCAACGATTTAAAGAAAATATCATATAGTCTATCACATTAACATTAGTTTAATTTCAAAAATAAATTCAGCAGG